GAACCGCGGTCAACTACGTGGGAGTCCAGCGACATAGCCATTACGCTAACTGCTGGTTCCCGATTTCCTTTTATTTTAATTCTGATTTATTTGACATAAAACCTACCTAATCTTGGGACCAGCAGTTAATGTAATGGCTATGTCGCTGGACTCCCACGTAGTCGACCGCAGTTCACGTCCCGGATCCAGTGGCTTAAAACTCACGCCGGGTGCGTGCGCATGCATGCCCAAGATCCCTAGAGGAGAAGGGATTGCGGCATGGCATTCCCCCCTGGGGGTGATTTCTTGCTTTCTGTCTCTCTGTCTCTCTGTCTGTCTGGTGAGCACACATGCCCTATAGTAAAAACTTGTTAAAAAAAAAAAAAATAACCTAATCTTAACTGATTGTTGAAACTGCAAGTATATTTGATGAGGATTTTCTCACTGGTTTTCTTGAAGGCAAGGTGAACCCCACTCAGTGTGAGGCAATGACCATGGTTGCAGCCCAAGTCATGGGGAATCATGTCGCTGTTACTGTTGGAGGCAGCAATGGACATTTTGAATTGAATGTTTTCAAGCCAATGATGGTAAGCTCTCCATTTGATTTATTTTTTGTTTGCCATGAAGGTTACTAGAAATTCTCCATTAGGCATTTTGGATGACATAAATAGCAGTTGGAGTCGAACATTTATTAATTTAGAGAAATAACCCTAGATGTGAGGAATTGGGTGTGTTTTAGCTCAAATGTTTTGATGGTTTAGTAGGAAGAACAATTCTGGAGACAGCATATAGGCTTCTTCTGTGTCCCTTACTACTTCAGATGCCAGCAGCTAGAAATAAGTTCAAGTCTCCTCAGTTTACACAAAAAAAAAAGCCTCCATTTGTAACCCTATCTTATTATTGTGATGTTTTCATCCTCTTTCAAATTCAGTTTCCTTGAAGGAGTCACCTGTGTTCACTGTCATTTACGCTATATTCACTATAGCCCAGCTGTAGCCCCACCACTTGTGATTGAGTTGATTTCCCATTCATTAATGACCTCTGCAATCTATGGACATCCGTGGTTCTTCTTTTCCAAATATCTGATGTTTCTTCAACCCCTCCTTCCCAGTTTTCTTCCTGTCCCCTCTCAGGCTTTCTTTCATTGGTTTTACTTCTTCCACCGACCTTGAAAATGTTGTTTCCACCAAAACTGTTGTTTTTCCTTCTTCTTATACAGATGGAACAAGAGGGCATCATCTAGTTTACCTAGCTTCAGATACTGGAGCTTTGCACGGTCCTTTATTTGTGTAGTCTTATATCTAAAATATATTAGTAGCTTATTTCCTTTCTGTTGGTATCTGGTATAAAGTCAATATTTAATTTGATAAACAAGTATTAAGTATATTCATTCAGTGTATCACCAGATATTTATTGATTACCTCATAATCTATCTATATCAGGCATTGGCCTGGGTGCTAGTGATAAATCAGTGATTAAGGCAGAGTTTTTTATTGCCTTCATGGGTTGTGCGTTCCACTAGTAAATGAAAAGGTAGGCCATGGCAGAGCTCAGACCTGTGAACTAGCATTCAGGACAGATTCCAAACAATTAACCCTAGCTGATTGACGTATGTAGGTGCATGAAAATAACTGTCTTGTTAATCTTTTTAAATCTATTTTTAAATCTTTAATACAAAATAAATCAAGATTAAGTCATTAGTATCAAATTAAACCTTAAAAGTTTTATACCTTCTGTTAAAGTTCATTGTTGGAGGTATAGTTTTTAGACTTATGGTTTTAGGCAAAGAATAATTAGGGATATGACTCTCTATATATATTAGATATGTTACCAAAAAGAAAAAAAAATGCTAAAACAAACAATTTGATTTGGTACTATCTTTAGATATTTGTGAAAAGTTATTTTAATGTAACCATGGAACATGATTTTGTTAAACATAAAACACTTGATGACCATTGAAAACTGGGAGACCTCGACTTTACTTTTTAACCTCTGCATTTTTGGTCCTCTTCCTTCTGCAGAGAGGATTCTTTCCCCATCTCCATCTCCAGCTGTCTTAAGTCCTCTCCATCAGCTAGATACTCATCAGTTCCTATGGCTGGAACTCATTTCTCTTTGTCTGTGATTGCTAACCACTTCATGTCTCTTCAAATAATTCAGTTTGTATGCTTTAAAGATGAACAGTGATTTAATGTAAAAAATATAATTTAAATTAAAAAAAATTATAATTACGATGGCCTATCTTAAATTTCAGGTGTTTGTGTTAGCCATCTTTTTCACCTACTGAGATTTTTATCCTATCAAATGATCATAATTTCTTTCACATTAACTTCTTGGGTGCAATGGCTTATAGTTTGTAGGACTGCTGTGTTTATTGAAAACCGCAAATAATATGTGTTATTAGATATACAAAAAATAGGCGTATTAATATTTGTGTTTTTCTCTCTCTTGCTCTCTCTGTCTCAAAGATTAAAAATGTGTTACACTCAGCCAGGCTGCTGGGAGATGCTTCAGTTTCCTTCACTGAAAACTGTGTGGTAGGAATTCAGGCCAACACAGAAAGGATCAACAAGCTAATGAGTGAGTCTCTGATGTTGGTGACAGCTCTTAATCCTCACATAGGTAAGAGTTTAAGGAATAATAATATCACTTTGAATACAAAATTTAAAAGTTGAAATTATTAAGCAAATACTGTAACAGTTTTGTGGACAGTAAATTTCTTTAGACATTGTTTCAGTAAAATCTCTTTAAAATATGAGTGGACATCAAAAAGTCTATTAAAAAAATAGAATTCAGGGACCAGCAGTTACCATAATGGCTATGTCGCTGGACTCCCACGTAGTTGACTGCGGTTCGCGTCCCAGACCCGGTGGCTTAAATTCACGCCAGGCGTGTGTGCGTGCGTGCCCAAGATCCTGAGAGGAGAAAGGAGGAGAAGGGATTGCAGCGTGGCTATCCCCCCCTGGGGGGTGATTTCTCACTTTCTGTCTCTCTGTCTCTGTCTGTCTGGCGAGCGCATGCACCCTATAGCAAAAACCTCTCAAAAGAAAAAAAAAAATAGAATTCAAGCGGGAATGTATTTTGGTACAAAAAAGCTTGAAATCCATGCATAGTTTTTCCATTGTACATATTTCCCATGACCTTTTGAAGACCCCTCGTATTCAAAATTGTGTTGACTTTTATGATGTCATAGTTCTTTTAAAAACCTGGTCCATTACACTTCATATTATTTGAAATGTACTATTCAGAAATAACGTTCAAACCTCCTTTAGTCTTAATGGAATTTAGATGCTAACTCTTCTGTGCAGACACTTGGGGAAGATTATTTGTCATATTCTCAGTTGGTGATGTCACTAGGTGGCACTGGCTGCTCAGCAACAGAATGGATTCACTTTTCTATTTGCTCTAGATGTTTTATAATGCTTTGATTTTGTTGCTTTTTCCAATTCAAAACAATGGAAAGGTACGAAGTAAAAGGAAAAAATTATGTGTTTATTTCTCATAGAAAAAGGGAGAAAAATGCAAATATCTTATCTAAAACCATGTTTTTGTATTACAAACCTATATTCCAGAATTGTTAAGTATTTCACTTAAGTAGATTCAAACATGTAGAGTTGGATTTTAGACTGACCATAATGATCCCCATTAAATAGACTGTTTTGACTTGACTTTTTTTTTTTTTTTTATAGGGTGCGTGTGCTCGCCAGACAAGCAGAGAGAGACAGAGAGACAGAAAGTGAGAAATCCCCCTCCTGGAGGGATAGCCACACTGCAGTCCCTTCTCCTCCATTCTCCTTTCGGGATCTTGGGCATGCACACACATGCATCCGGCGTGAGTTTTAAGCCACTGGGTTCAGGACGCGAACCGCGGTCAGCTACATGGGAGTCCAGTGATATAGCCATTACGCTAACTGCTGGTCCCTTGACTTGACTTTTATAGATTATGAGGCATTCATTGCAATGTGTTAAGTATTAAAAACCTTCTCTACCTTGTCCTCATTTCTGCTGAAGTGATGTTAATATATTCTTTGATTTTCTTGTATTTTGCAACAAATTATGATACAGTCATTTGGCATAATATGGTTACTGTTTTAAATAATCCTGAGCTTTCAAGGCAAATTTTATGTGATGTGGCTTCACGTGAAGCTGTAATTTAAGTTTTATGAAGTTAGAACTCATCTGGCTGCTTTAGGTAACACTGAGTTCAAAATGACAACTGTTTTTTGGTGTAGTATTGAGATTGGTAATGATATTTTGATCCATTTAAAATTATTATACATCAGCCTTCAGCTGGAAAGATACAAATGGTAACCAGATCACGGGTTTCTCTATGCCCTCATTATGTAACAGGCTGATTGTTAATATTGTCTTGTGGGACTTGGAATGAAAGTGGTGAGCATTAATGCTTAGTCTTTGAAATCACTGTTAACATAAACTTGCAGAATATATTGATTCCACAAGCTTAACATGAGAAGTCTTTCTCAAAGCTACTCTGATCAGTAAATGCCTTTTCAACATATTTACTATTTATAAATTCAGTTAAGTAATGAGATTATGCCTCTGATTTGCTTTAGAGATGGTTAATAATTGCATATTGACACATAACATCTTGTTTGGTTGATAATCACACTGCCTCAGCAGGTTTCTTTCCTTTGGTCATATTCTCTGATCTTCCTTTTTTGTTTTTTTCCTTGTTTCTCTCTCATTGATTTCATTAAATTACTTTTAATCAAGACAGCTTGCAGCATTGTCCTACCCTACCTTCATTAACTTACTAAGCAAATAATTCTGAAGTAAACAGTACACCTGTGATCTTTCTTACAAATGTATGTGTCTGCTAAACTGTTCCCACCTGTATCCTGTAATGTCTGGGAAGAGGGTAAGGAATGGGAGCCTGTGCACTGGAGAGGGAAATAGAGAAGAACCTTCGTAAGCAGCTCTGATGCCCTCTCTACTCTTCCTCCACTGCAAGATTTCTCTTTTCCTCTCATGCTCAGAGCCAGTCTCACCATGCATGACTGCATTTTCTGCAAGACTGAAGCAGTTAGCTTATTAATGCTTCCTTAGAAAGATCATTATTTCTGGCTAAACGTTTGAAAAGTATAACCAGATGTATGTTTTTGTGTCTTGCTGCTATTCCCCACCCACCCAAGAAAAGGGCAGTTTCAATTTAGGAATCTATTGCTAAAAGTAAGGTTTGCTTAAGTCTATATTACTGTGTTCTATCCTATATAAGAAATGACAGTTTTCTGAGATAACCACTGTTGAATATTTTTTTTTTTTTAAGTAAAAGAAAATAGTTTCTTTAAAAGGCCCATTACATCAATATCAAACTTTTTTGCTTTGGAAAACAAAATTTTAGTATTGCTTCCTATATCTTTTTTTTTTTTTTCTTCAGGGTATGACAAGGCAGCAAAGATCGCTAAGACAGCACACAAAAATGGATCAACCTTGAAGGAAACTGCTATTGAACTCGGTTTTCTCACAGCAGAGCAGTTTGACGAGTGGGTAAAACCTAAGGACATGCTGGGTCCAAAGTGATTTTAAATAAATTTATATAAAAACAAACAAATAAAATTTAAAAAATGAGTCTTTCTGTTTCTTAAACCAAAATGGGTAAATTTGAAAGAAGCCGCTGTTGAACTGGAGTGTGTCTAGCAGGGCAATTTGATCAGTGTACAGAACCCTCTGATGTGCTAATTTCAAAGAGAATTAAGTATAAAATAAAATACATTGAGTTAAGTTTAAAATAATAAGAAACTAATTTTCTTTTATGTTAATTGACTATTACGAGTTGAATTTCTTTTTTTGGAGGGAGAGGGTTTTTTTTGTTTTGTTTTGTTTTTTTTGCTATAGGGTGCGTGCGCTCATTAGAAAGACAGAGAGAGACAGAGACACAGAGACAGAGATAGGAAGCCAGAGGGGCTCCCTACCACACTAGCTTTGTCCCCGGGGTGATGGCCACATGCGTGCACACACGCCTAGTGTGAGTTTAAACCACCGGATCTGGGACTCGAACCATGGTCATCTACATGGGAGTCCAGTGACATAGCTGTTACGCTAACTGCTGGCCCCATAAGTTGGATTTCTTTTTTTTGGGGGGGAGAGGTTTTTTTTTCACTATAGGGCGTGTGCACTCGCCAGACAGACAGAGACAGAAAGTGAGAAATCAACCCCCGGGGGGATGGCCACGCCACAATCCCTTTTCCTCCATTCTCCTCTCAGGATCTTGGGCATGCAGGCACACACATGTGCCCGGCGTTAGTTTTAAGCCACTGGGTCTGGGATGCGAACCATGGTTGACTACGTGGGAGCCCAGCAACATAGCCATTACGCTGACTGCTGGTCCCCATCCATAAGTTGGATTTCTGACTTGTGCATATGTGTTTATGATTTTGTAAGTTTTCTGAAAGCCTTATCACTTTTTAAAGGATTTTGCATTTTTTTTTGGTTGGTGATAGGTTGAAAAATTTCCCTATAGTCAAAGAGTACTTATTACTGCATTTCCAAGAATTGTTGTAAGACATCTTATATTTTCCTGTGAGTTATGGGCATAAGATGACTAAGCTGTTCTGAAAGGGGTATGTGTGTGTTTGTGATTGTGCACACATGTGTATATGTGCAGGTGTCTGTGTGTAGAAATAGTTTTAAAAAATTGGGACATATATGCAAGCAAACCTTAGAGATACTGTGGTTCACTTCCAGACCACTGCAGGAAAGTAAATAGCACAGTAAAATGACACAAAATTCTTTTGGCTCTTTGGTGCATATAAAAGTTTTGTTTCCACTATACTGTAGTCTATTAAGTGCACGGTAGCAGTATATCTGTAAAGTTAAAGTACACTTAATTTTTTTAAAAAAGCTTTATTACTAAAAAAGCTCACGATCATCTGAACCTTCAGGAGATCATAATCTTTTTGCTGGTAGAGAGGTTTCCTGGATGTTGATGGCCACTGACTGATCAAGGTGGTAGTTACTAAAGGTTGGGATGACTATGGCTGTTTGTTAAAATAAGACCGCAGTGAAGTTTGTGCATTGACTGACTCTTCCTTTCATGAACAATTTCTGTCTTGCATGCTGAGCTGTTTGGTAGTGTAGTGTTTTACTCACAGTAAAACCTCTTTCAAAATTGGAGTCTGTCCTGTCAGACCTCGGTGCTGCTTCATCAAGTAAGTTTATGTCATACTCCAAATCCTTTGTAGTCATTTTGATGACAGCACAGCATCTTCACCAAGAGTAGATTCTGTCTCAAGAAACCAGTCATAAGGAATTCTCATCTGTTAAAAGTTTTACCCTGAGATTGCAGCAATTTTTTTTTTTGGAGAGATTTTTGCTATAGGGCATGTGCACTCTCCAGAAAGACAGAGAGGGACAGAGAGAAAGCGAGAAATCACCCCCCAGGGGGATGGCCGTGTCACAATCCCTTCTCTTCCATTCTCTTCTCGGGATCTTGGGCACGTACACACATGTGCCTGGCGTGAGTTTAAGCCACCAACCAGTTCTGGGGCTCGAACCACGGTCGACTACATGGGAGTCCAGAGACGTAGCCACTACTCCAACTGCTGTTCCTGAGATTGCAGCAATTTAATCACATCTGAAGGCTCCAGTTCCCATTCTCACTCTTGCTATTTTCATCTTTGCAGTTAACTTGCTCCATTGAAGTCTTGAACCCTTCAAAGTCATCTATGAGGGTTGGAATCAGCTCCTTCCAAATTTCTGCTAATGATATTTGGACCTCCCCTGCATAATGAATGTTCTCAGTGACATCTGGAATGGTGACACCTTTCCAGAGATTTTTAGTTTACCTTGCTGAGTTTCATCAATGGAGTCACTGTCTATGGCAGCCATAGCCTTATGAAATGTATTTTTTAAATAATAAGGCTCAAAAGTTGTAATTACGCTTTCATCTGTGGGCTGCAGAATGGATGTGGTGTTAGCAGGCGCAAAAACAGCATTAGTCTACTTGGACCTCAATATCAGAGCTCTTGGGTGACAGGTACATTGCCAATGAGCAGTTATATTTTGAAGGGAATTTTTTTTTGTGAACAGTAGGTCTCACCAGTGGGCTTATAATACTAGGTAAATAGACTGAAATATGCACTGTCATCCCAGCTTTGTTTTTCCGTTTACAGAGCACAAACAGAGTAGATACAGCATAATTCTGAGTGTCTCAGTATTATCAGAATGGTAGATGAGCATTGGCTTCACTTTAAGTTGCCACCTGCATAAGTCCCTAACAAGAGTACCAGGCTGTCCTTTGAAGCTTTGGAGCCAGGCACTGTCTTCTCTGGCTGTGTAAGTTCTAGAAGACCCATGCTTCAACAGAAGGCCATTTTGTCTACTATGAAAATTAGTTGTTCAGGTAGCCACCTTCAATGATTTTAGCTAGATCTGGGTACTGCAGCTTCAATGTCAGCACCTGCTGCTCCATGTAGCCCTTTGGTATTAAGATGGCTTCTTTCTTTTAACCTCATGAACCAACCCCTGCTAGCCTCAGACTTTTCTTCACCTCCCTCACTCTCTCAGCCTTCATAAAATCAAAGCATTAAGGATTAGGCTTTGGTTTAAGGATTAATAATGTGATTGGGTTGCTCTGTCTAGACCACTAAAATTTTATGTTAGGAAAATGCTGTTTCACAGTCTTAATGCTCATGTGTTCACTGGAGTAGCACTTTAACTTTCAAGAACTTTTCCTCTGCATTCATCCTTGGGTTAGTTTGGCACAACAGGACTCACTTTTGATTTGCTTTGGCTTTGGACATGCCTTCCTCATTAAGCTTAATCATTTTTGCTTTTGATATAAAGTAAGAGATGTGTGACTTCCCATCATGTGAACGCTTAGAAGCTAGTATAGGGTTATTAATTGGACTAATTTCAGTACTTTTATGTCTCCAGGAATAGGGAGGCCTGAGGAGATGGAGAGAGACTGGGCAATGGCCAAGTTGGTGGGACTGACAGAATACAGTGTTCATTGATTAAGTTCTTTATCTGTAGGCTGGGTTTATGGCACTCCAAAACAATTACAATAGTGCCATCCAAGATCACTGATCACAGATCACCATAACAGAAATCATCATAATGAAAAAGTTTGAAATGTTACAAGAATTACCAAGCAATGACAGGGAGACATGAAGTGAGCATATGCTATTGGAAACATGGGGTGGGTAGGCTTCCTTAATGCAGAGTTGCTACACATCTTCAATGTGTAAAAATCTCAGTAGCCTTGGGGCCAGCAGATGGCATGGTAGTTAAGGCACTGGACTCCCACATGGCCTACCATGGGTTGAGTCCCAGACCCAGTGTCTTGAAAATCATGCCAGGCATGTTTGTGCGCATGCCCAAAATCCTGAGGGAAGGGATTGTGGTGAGGTCATCCTCCCTGGGCGGTGATTTTTCTGTGTCGTTGATGAATGCACACATCTATGGCAAAAACGTAAAACAAAACAAAAAAAAAAAATTGGAATATCCTCAAAGCATAATAAAGTCAAAGCACAGAACAACAAAACATGCCTGTAGAGCATATGTGCTCATGATGCACGCATGTCTCCTGACCTTGTTTTAATTATCAAAGAAGACCTGAAAACACCATGATTAAGAATTCCAGGACATGGGTTAGAAAGGATAAGGAGGGCAGACGATTGGAAAGAAAGGAAGGATGTTACCAAAATGAGTCTTGCCAATCATCTCTGCACCAGTGCCAAGATTATTTTAGCAGGAATTTATTTGAAGCAAACACATGGGATTCAGAAGTAGCAGTTCTAGGAAGATCCAGGATAAGCTGATTTCAACTTGAAGCTAAAGAATTTAAAAGATATTGGGCCAGCAGATGGCAGGGTAGTTATGTCACTGGACTCTCACATGGCCGACCGCATTTCAAGTCCTGGACCCAGTGGCTTGAAAATCATGACGGGGGCATTTGTGTGCATGACCAAGATCCTGGGAAGAGAATGGAGGAAAAGGGATTGTGGTGTGGCCATCCCCACAACGAAGTGATTTCTCGCTTTACCTCTCACTCTCTTTCTACAGTGAGCAAACACACACCCTAAGGCAAAAACCTCTTTAAAAAGGGGAGGAAACCCTTAACATGTAATAGGACCAACCTCTATTAGGGAGTTGAAACAGGCATTTGGTCTCACTTTTCCCCTTCCACATGTATAATAACAGAATAATAAAAAAATAGCCATGACTCGTGCTAAGGTATCTCATCGATAAGTAGTCTTCTATTGGGTATATATGTTTTTAAAATGGGACAGTTTTTGAAAAAAAAATGGGATATTTATACTTGAAAGATTAATCATGTCAATACCAACTCCTCTGTGGAAATCTAAAAGTAATTGCTTTATATAGCATTTAAAAGAGTAAATTAAAACAAGTTCTAGAAACACTGTGATAAAAGATGAAATTTATGTTCCCAACCAATTTCTTAAGCCTGAGTGGGTGCTGTTCTAGTTTGCTCTGTTACTGATAACAGAAAATACCTGAGTGAGGGTAATTTAGAACAGAGGTCCAGCCTGTGGACCTTTGTATTCAGTAGCAAACTGACCTGCAGGACTGGAAACCATGTATTCAGATTCCCAGGGTTTGCTTTA